CTCCCAATTTAATTCTTTACTCTTTGTCAGAAAAAAAGAAATTTGGATATAAAAATATTTCGCAGTTGCGACTTGAGCCTGCTCTATGCCCCTAGTTGGGGGCGGCAAGGCAAGAGATACTGTAAAAAGAGTAAAACTGCAGTATGCAGTTGAAAATGTCAAGGTGTTCACAATCAGACTGATCTGTCTGAACTCCCTACAATTACTCCCTTGACTCTGCTGGCAAAAGAGGGGAAGAGAACCTGTGGCTCAGTGACTAAATCACTGCCTAGTATGTATAACTTTCCAGGTTCGAATCCCATAAAGGGTATGGCTAACTGATGAAGGCAAAAAAAGCCAGAAATGGTCCATCTTAGTCTCCCAATTTAATTCTTTACTCTTTGTCAGAAAAAAAGAAACTTGGATATTTATATATATATATATATATATATATATATATATATATATATATATATATATATATAAATATAAATATATATATATATAAATATATAATTCTGCTTTTTTTCTATATCAGCTTGGTTCCTGCAGCCATGTTTTAATTATTTCTGTTGAGGTTATGATTCAAGCCACTGTTGCTTAGCATAATATATGATATCAGGCCACATTTTAAAGAATACTGCTTTAGCACCATAATAAACTCATACAATTAGATTTTAATAAGGGAAGGCTAAATTAAGAGCTCTTAACTTTTGTTAGATCATGCCTCATACGTTTCCATTATAGACTTTCATTGTATACCAATGTTTTGGATGTATTTTTCACGTTAGTTTTCTATTAAACACACTGTACAAGTTCAGATCAGTTTTGCTGAGAAAGTATCAAATTCTTACTTCTTTTTCTCATCTCCTGACAGCATGGGATGGGTATTCCCTCCATTTCTATCGTGCTTCATGAACTAATCAAATTGCTACACCATGCAAAATGCTGTGATGTTACCATTATCCGCATCGGTACCTCAGGAGGATTAGGTGAGTAAAGAGTTTTGCTACTGCCAGGCATAGAGGATGCAGATGAAAAACAGCTCAGAAAAGGTCAGATCTTGATGAGAATTTTATAACATGTTTTAATATATATTTCAAGTCAACAAATTTCAGGCAGCAAAGGTATACACAAAGAGATCACAAATGTGTATTTGGCTAAGGTAACGTCACCCTGAAAATATGGGGCTTGATGTCCTTTCTAAATTAAAGTCATTCGAAATAAATTTTCCTGGGAATCTATATAAGAACAACATTAACTGAAACAAAGAAATATCATACTGTACCATAAAAGAGTGTTTCGCAATAGCATTTATAAAATATTAAACTCCTGGACTTTAATATACGAACTTCTCTTTATACTTGTTCAACCGCAAGCAGCCTATTAATTTTAATCAAAATAAAAGCTTTATGTGCTTTCAGAATGAGTGAAAAAAGCTTCTAGGTCTCAAAGGATTATCTTAAATACCCAAATGAACTTTCTCTGTTTTAAAGAATCTGATCACCTGCTCACCAGATTAAAGTGAGACAATTAATTTCCTTTTTTAGGTTGGTTCTCATGACAGACTAAACAGCAGCTGGAGGATGACACTTGAATCTAAAGCTTAGGCCTCTATGATTGTGGCAAGCATATAACATACGTCATATTTCTAACATTTAAAATAACATTACCAAAAATTACAAATCGTTTATTGTCAAAGTACAACATGTGTACAATGAGATTGGCTGAGCCTCCCTTCATGCACCCCCCATCACAACTCACAATGACAACAAACACACAATCTTATTACACCGTGTGAACATATTGCACAACGTGCCGGCCCCGCAAGTCTATCATACACGGAGTTATTTCCCATTCAGGAGTCTGACAGCCCATGGGTAGAAACTGTTCTTCAGCCTGTTGGTGTGGCTGGCTATGCTTCTATATCTCCTGCCCGATGGTAGGAGAGTAAAGAAGTGCTGACCAGGGTGTGAGTCGTCCCTGAGGATTTTCCTCACTCTTCTAAGGCAGCGGGCCCTAGCGATGTCGTCTAGTGGTATCAGGGGACAGCCCACTATATAGATATAGAACATGACTGACAAGCCCAGCACCTTAACTGCTAGGTCACTGTGCCCCTTTATACATATTGCACATACGTACATACGTACATGCACACCTACAGGCTTATAGAACATAAAATAAATATAGATATAGAACATATCTATAAATTGGGTATGAACTGAATCGTAAGTTTAACAGTCACTTTGAAGAGTGAAATGGGCAGCATATAGCAATAGCACTTAGACTTATATACCACTTCACAGTGCTTTACAGCCCTCTCTAAGCCAGTGGTCCCCAATCCTTGTGGCTTGCCGGCCCAGCCAGGGGGAAGAGGGGAACTGGGCCACGTGAGCGGTGGGCTGGCGTGCCCGCACGCACAGCTCCACTCGCGCGTGCGGGCAGGTCCACTGCTCATTCAAGTGGAGCTGTGCACACGTGTACACCGGCCCTCCACTTGCATGACAGGAGCTGCACATGCGTGTGTGCCAGCCTGCCGCTCGTGTGGCCCAGTTTCAAATAGGCTGTAGCCTAGTAGTGGGCCACGGCTTGGGGATCCCTGCTCTAAGCGGTTTACAGAGTCAGTCTATTGCCTACAACAAACTGCGTCCTTACCAGCCTTGGAAGGATGGAAGGCTGAGTCACCCTTGAGCTGGTGAGACTCGAATTGTCAGAATTAGCCTGCAATACTGCATTCTAACCACTGCGCTACCGTGGCTCATGTAAAATTTAATAAATAGCTAAATAAAATGGAATATAATCAAAATTCAAAACTTCAGTTGATAGAATATGTATTGTCCTCATTCACCCTGAGTCAAGGGGAGGGGAGGGGAGGGGAGGTTACTGTGTTTTGAGAAGTTCAAAATCTAGGGGTTTTTTGGGAGCTAACCTAAGTACCTCAAATAACTCCCCAAATGTTATGTCAATTACTTGCCTTTCAGTTAATTGTTCACTCAGCTATCTATGATTAAGACTTCCGTTTCTGCATTTGTTTCAGTATGCCTGTGCCACCACCAGGTTTGACCAGGAAATAAGAGGAGGGGGGCTTATTTGTTTTTATGGAGCAAGTTTTAGTTATTTGCTCCAACAAAATAGCCAGATATTGAGAAGAAAAGTTATTACCCACTAAGCTATTTTCATATCAGCCGAGAATACTGAAAAAATGACTGCTGGATGACTAATTGAGCCATCAAAATCTTATGCAGTTAGCACAATCTTCTTGAGATAAGTGACTAATGGGGGGAGGGGATCTTTGGATCATCCAGGTCAGACAGACACAGACAATGACTTATTACCTTGTGTCAGTTCCACCTTTCTCTAAACTGAAATATTCAAAGGTTTTGCTATATTCAGATTTCTAGGATCAAGCTAAAGCTATTGTAAAGACTCAGTTGAGTCAGTGGCTGGTGATTTCATGGACATCTCTATATTCTTTCTTTTGGCTATAATATGGAAGTTGCTTATGATTGCCTTTTAGGATGGTTTTTCAATTTCCTAGTCCGGTCTACAGCTCAAGATTTCTTAATAATCTCTTACTTCATGTACTAACTAGATCTAACCCTGCTTACCTTTGGGGGATAGCCAAGATCAACTAAAGCAGCAGTTCTCAACCTTTTTGGCACCAGGGACCAGTTTTATGGAAGACAGATCCACAATCGGGCACAGGGAGAAGGAACATGCAACCTAGATCCCTCACATGAACAGTTTATAGTAGGGTTTGCGCTCCTATGAGAATCAGTGCTTGATGATCTGAGGTTGAGCTGAGGCAATGATGGTAGCGCTGGGGAGTGGATGCAAATACAGATGAAGTTTCACTCACTCTTCCACCACTCGCCTGCAGCTGAGCTGCCCAGTACTGGTCCGTGGCCTGGAGGTGGGGACCCCTAAGCTAAGGGATGCTATCTACTGTAAGAGGTTCTAATAGTTACTGGGACATAGTTGTCATTTCATATTTCTTCACCACCATGTATTTTCAACTTTTAGGAGTTGAGCCTGGCTCTGTGGTAATAACAGATGTGGCAGTGGATTCCTTTTTCAAGCCCCAGTTTGAGCAAGTGATCCTAGACCGTGTGGTGACACGAAACACAGAGCTTGATAAAGACTTGGCTTCTGAGCTACTCGAATGCAGCAGAGGGATTAAGGACTTTCCAACACTAATGGGCCATACAATGTGCACATATGATTTTTATGAGGGTAAGCATGTTTTTATCCATCTACGGAGATTCTCAATCATCCAGGTCATGGTTGTCCCAAATGTGATGTCCTTTCAAAAGGCAACTGGACTTTCTTGGCTTTTTCCTTGAAAATCTTTTGCTTCTCATCCAAGAAGCTGAAACTGAAGAAGCAAAATGTTTTCAAGGGAAAAAACCAAGAAAGTCCAGTTGCCCAAGCACCCGTGGGACATGTTTTTAACTGAAAATTGAAAATATGGAAACTTTACAGTATCTAGCTAGTTTTGGGGAAGCATCATTTAATGGCTAATGGTCACTTTGATGTCTGTTTCCTTAATGAACTTGAAATCAATAAATATGCTTATGCTAAAATCTCCCTTCTCATCAGTTCTACTGTCAGGAAGATTTCATGGGACTCCTTATTTCCAGAGACGTTGCTCTTGACCTCTCTCACAATCCTGTCCTCATATGGTGTCCTTTTATGAAGCCCAAGACATGTTCTAATCACCCCAATCATTTCCAAATATGTGGGCCACACTGAAGAATTTTAGTTTTATTATTTTTAAGGGAAGCTAATCTCACACCAGCACATAGTATCAGGTGGCCAAACATTTTCACCAAGTTATATAACTGTAGAAAACTTTTAATTAGATATGTTGTTTTATTATCCTATTGTTTTTTTCCCCTTTCCCAGTAACAAATTGTTGTATCAAACTATCTTTCCTTTTTACTGTAAAGGTTGGTCAAAGACCGTAATAAAGATATTTGATTTTAATTTGATGCTAAAACCTCTTCCCATATCTACAGTACTCAGAACTAAATTCAATGGAACTTGCTTCCAGATAAGTAAAAGTATTGATTGCAATCATTTTACAAGGGATAAGCATCATTACGCATAACCTTAACTTTCCTAATCCATTTAGCTCCATTATTAGCGGTAATTATCCCACTAATATCTACTCCATTTTTAGTGGTCTATCCTTAGTTACTCTTAAAAATAAGCTTTTGTTAATTTTGAGGACAGTAAAATGGTAGCATTTTGTCCTTTGTTTTATAGGATTTGTTAATAAATATAGAGCCATTAAAGAAAAATGCAACTCTGCATCAATACTTTGGTTCTATTTTAATTATTTGTCTTGTCATTTTAAAGACAAATGTAACAATTAAACTTTAGTTTAGTTTCACTCTATGGAATTTCACTGATAAACAACAAGACAAGTTAATAGGAACAGTCAACACACCAAAAAAACCCCACAAACAAACCAGAATTATTATTTCATTTCTTGACTAAAACTCTAAAATGGTTACTAGAAAGTAGAGAATAAAGTTGTAAGAGAAAAGTGGAACTTTTTTCTGGAAGAATATCAGAGCTAAGGCACTTGAGATATCTGTCACATTTACCCACATTTCTATCAAGGAAATTACTTCAGTGATAGCAAAGCGGTAGATCTAGAGATATTGCAGAATTGGACCTTCTAACATCCCTCAGTACTGACCATTTATATCAATGCTATTGGAATGGTGGTCTAAGGCAGGGGTCCCCAACCCCTGGTCCGTGGACCAGTACTGGGCTGCAGCATGCCAGCAACCAGTCTGCACAAACAAGCAAAGCCCCATCCACAGGATGCAGGCAGCACACAAAACCACGCACCCTCCAGTCCATGGAAAAACCTCTCTCCACGGAACCGGTCCCTGGTGCCCAAAAGATTGGAGGCCTCTGGTCTAAAGAGCTGTCCTCTAATAAGTGAGAAATGGATGGGCAATATAAAAATTAAATTTGATGCACTTAGACTAGGGGTAGGCAACCTTGGCTCTTTTATGACTCGTGGACTTCGACTCCCAGAATTCCTGAGCCAGCATGGCTCAGCTTGGAAACCTCTCCCTTTCCCCTCAGCATGGCTGGCTCAGGAATTCTGGGAGTTGAAGTCCACGAGTCATAAAAGAGCCAAGGTTGCCTACCCCTGGTCTTAGACTATTTACTTCAATACAGTTAATATGTTCCCCATGTATTCAATGATTTTCCCTTCCATCACATCGATTATGTGCCATCAAGTTGATGTCAACTGTTAGAGTACCACAGAGATTGATTTATTTAACCGCTTTGGGGTTAGAAACCACATAGCTAAATCAATCCATGACAATCTGTCCCTAACCTGGTCTTTCATGCCCTCCAACGATGTATTTAACACCACTGTAACTGAGTCCACCCACCTTGTTGCTGGTTGGCCTCTTCTTCTCCTCCCTTCCGCCTTTCCCAGCATTACAACCTTAGACTTTCTGTAGTCTGAAATGTTATTTGAAATAACATGTCTGAAGTAGAATAATTTCAGCCTGTCATTTGTGCCTCAAGTGAGAACTCTGGGTTGATTTGTTTTGATATGTTTATTTTTTTTTCCTTTGCTTGGTGTGACATTCTCAGGAATCTTCTCCAACACCAAAGTTAAAAAAAAGCCATCAATACTCTTCCTAGCTTGCTTCTTCGAAGCTTAACATTCATTTCTATCAAATTAAATAGTGTTATTTAGTGGCAACTTTGGGAGACTCTCAAAGATGAACCAAAAAGCTTTATGGGGCCTCAGACCACTTGTAGGAGTGCAGGCAGGGCGCTTTTGCTTCAGATGCCAAGCAAAACCCTTTTTTAATCTCAGGATTTTTAAATTCCTCAAATGGTTTGTTTTTTTAAAAATTAGGACTTCTGCTGTTTATCCTAGGGACCGATGCCAGTGTATTTGCTATCTATTTTAATTCACTGCAAACTATTCTGGAGAAAGAAAGATGCCTATTAATCCAACTTCCCATCTCCTTTATGACATTTAAGACAATCTAAAACTCTCTTGATTTGCATCCTCAACAACATGTGCCACTTCATTGACTAGAAGATGCAAGCATTTCGTATCAAACAGTTAAAATAAAAGAGCCCCCAGTCAATCATCATATCATCATGTTAACAGCTGGATTACATTCCAACTACCTCCTGTGACAGGATTATAGCTTCCAAAATTACCTTCCCCTAAGAAAAATGTCAAGAAGTCTGGCATTTACATAAGTACCCATTAGTCTCTCTCACTACCCCAGGACCTTTTCTTTGGAGACAATTAAATGCTGTTTGCAAAGTGGATAAAACAGAAGAAACTGAGAGAAGTCATCATCTATGGAGCCTGTGGAAACCTTTGGCTGGCCGATCTGAGTTGTGGCTCCCTTTTATGAAAGCCAGTTCAGAAACAGAATGGCAATGGAATAGCTTTGTCCTGGTTGATTCTGCTGCAGGGGTAGATTTGCCACTTGTAAAACAAAACAAAACAAAAACCGAGAGATACAAAGAGAACAGCAACTGGCTTAAAGCAGTAATTAAAAAGATTGATTTGCAAAATATGTTCATTTTATAAGGAAGCCTTTATCACACGCAAAGACTCAGATTTCTAGAATGTTCAATTTAGGGTTCATCAGACTGATTTTACAGAAATCTGTTAATATTTTACATTGGTTGCGTTTGTAGCTGAGTTTTCCTCTTCCATCCAGATGTTCCCTGCTTCCTTCTCTGCGGGATAAAGGTGATGCAAGTAACATGCAGGGAGAGACTGGCCAATGGTTGGCGCTTGGGGTGCTCAGAATTTGGACACTCTAGTAAGAAAAAGCAAAATTAAATGAAAATTAAATATCACCAACAAAAGCACCCATTAGCCTAGACCAGGGGTAGGCAACCTTGGCTCTTTTATGACTTGTGGACTTCAAATCCCAGAATTCCTGAGCCAGCATGGCTCAGCTTGGAAACTCTCCCTTTCCCCTCAGCATGGCTGGCTCAGGAATTCTGGGAGTTGGAGTCCACGAGTCATAAAAGAGCCAAGGTTGCCTACCCCTGGCCTAGACCCTAGACATACTAGCTAAGTGGCATTTATCCAAATGGAAAGCGGTTCAGACAGTAATGAAGGTATTACAGTAACTTGGTTTTTTTTTCCTTCTCCCAATTAAATGCCAGTCAGTTTTTTCAGTGCAGCAAGTAGTAAAAGCATCCAGAGGTTGTGTTTTGTGAGCTTTCTGCTTTACAATGAACTTGCAGCAGGAGGTTCAAATATACCACCATGCATTTTTCTGTAGGAATAGTGCTGCTTTCATTATTGGCGTCTGCAGCTTTCCTCCCGCACAGGGTGATAAAGAACACATTAGCCTTAATTTATTATCTGCACCATTAAAGGCATTTTTACATTCTCTTCTTTTTATGCATTCTGTTCTGTCATTCACTTCTTGCATTTCATGGAAATGTTAAAAAGTACACGGCAGATAAGTTATTAGTATTTCCAAGAGCAGGATATTAAGGTGCTGGTTTGTTTTTTTAAAATGGGAGTTTCTTTTTTTATTTAAGTAGGATGTCAGAAGGTTACCTTTAGGCTTTCAGAAGAAAGCATTCCTTGCAGAAATCAACTGGGCCAATGCTGTGGAGGTCAGGCCACATGAAAGCACAACAGACTGACATTTTTATCTTTCCCTTTCCCTTTTGAGGCCAAGGACGGTTAGATGGAGCATTGTGCTGCTTCTCTAATGAAAAAAAGCTAGAGTATTTAAAAAGAGCCTACAACGCCGGTGTGAGAAACATAGAAATGGAATCCACAGTATTTGCTGCGATGTGCAGGCTTTGTGGCCTGAAAGGTAAGTCAGGGGACTTCTGGGAAAGTTCTCCGCCCTTGGGTAGTCCTGTTTTTGTTTCAGTTTCAATAGAGAGGCACTAGGTCTGGGGTAGGCAACCTTGGCTCTTTTATGACTCGTGGACTTCAACTCCCAGAATTCCTGAGCCATCATAGCTCAGTATGGAAACCTCTCCCTGTCCCCTCAGCGTGGCTGGCTCAGGAATTCTGGGAGTTGAAGTCCACGAGTTATAAAAGAGCCAAGGTTGCCTACCCCTGCACTAGGTTTAAGAAACTGTTCTCTGTGGTCCTCCCAGTCATTGGGACTCAGGCAGTGTCTTTTCTAACTCCTATCTAAAGCCTTTCAACCTAGCCTGCTGCCAGCCCCAGAACTTCCCTACAGATCCAAACAAACTGAGGCATTTCTAGTTATGAGCAGGTGACGTGACTTTATTTTCCCATATTCAGACTACAGTTGAGAACATCTGTGCATTACTCCTTGCAGGAAAATAACCATTTTAGATACACACCCCGATTTACACAGATAGAAGAATAACCTTACGCTATAGTAACTCAGAGGGGTGAACTCTTGATGTCCAGAGGTTTCTTCAGCATCACATCCATGCACCTTGGCAGTTTACTTAAAGAGGCAATGCATTTTCAACTACAGTTACACTCAGTGCAGTCCCAGTTTTCCTTTGGCAAGCCACAGATTCTCTTCCAAAAATCTCACCTCTGATTACTTGGACTCTCATGGTGCTCCTTACTGGCTCCTCTGCATCCAGTCAGCTCCTTGTCATCTCTTTGGTTTAGCTGGTCCCAAGTTACTTGCCCAGGCTGTGGTCTCCTTGCTTTGACCCTCTCTCAAGCTGAAGCACCACATGATTTCTTTCATGGGTTGCACTTGCCCACCAATCCAGGCTGTGGTAGACAGCCCTGTGTGATCTCCTTTTACCTCTTACTGTAATCAGGATTAATATTTATATCCTACGTCCTTCTGTCTCTTACGTATCTCCCTTTGCTCTTCTTAAGCTACCCATTTTTCTTTCCTCGTCGCTTCTTTTTCTTACTCTTGAGTGACTTTTCTATCTCATTTTATGTGTCTGAAGTCTTTTTATCTCCTTGAGTTGCTTTCTTATATCCCCCCCCCACATCTTTTTCATTTTCCAAACCTTTCTTCAAGTCCTAATCCCTCTGGGTTAAGGCTGTCCCTTGGTCTTCTCCTTGGCCTTCATCTGTGTTTGCCTTGGCCCCAGTCTGTTATTTGCCTTCCACAACTCCACTTCAAAAACTCTAAAGTTAACTTCTTCTTCTCATAGTTGGGGAGAGAGTCACCTCCTCCCACCCTTATTTGTTTTCTCACTGGCTCCTTTTTCTCTAATCAGATCAAATTATCTTTTTCCCCCTCTAATTTACTTTTATATGCCCCTTCTTCTTTCCTACATCCTGTTAATTATAAACCCGAAACACCCAGATTGCTAGACACAAGTTATTTCCTTGCTTCTCATGCTAAACCCCTAGCAATTTTCACCAGTTTTGCTCATTTCCCAATCTTTACTGCAACCACTTGGTTACCTTAATTCTTGTTTGCTGAACTATATCAATCCACTGTGCAGGAAGGTAGGCACAAAGTTCACTTTGTTAAAAAAAATATGGTTGCAATATATGTATTTCTAATTATCAATCCGGTATTTTGATAAGAAAATAATTCAATAAATTTAAAATTGCTTTTTGGCATAATAAAACAGGTAAGTAAAAGTAATGATTTCAGTAATTCTTTGTAATTCCCTGGAAGCTGCCAAAAGCTGTAAGAGGAAAATGATGCACTAGCGCGGGGGTAGGCAACCTTGGCTCTTTTATGACTCGTGGACTTCAACTCCCAGAATTCCTGAGTCAGCACTAGTGTTTAGTTTTGATACAATATTCAGGGGAAAAAGGGGTTCCGATTGAAAGGTATTGATTCACAAATCCTTGGATCAGATGTGCCGTCCACTTGCTACTTATAATTTTAAGAACAAATTATGTTTTTACATGTGTAATTCAGCCACACGCCACAATACTTTTGCAATTCTGAAGAAACAATGTTATGTCACATTGTATAAAGCACTTACAAAGGTTCATAGTAAGGCTGTCATATCTAAATGATCGCTAGAGCAAAGAGAGAGAGAAAAAAAATCTAGATTTTTGCAATCCAGATGATGTTGAAACGGTGAATAGTATTGTATAATATTTTAACACTTTCGCTGTATTAGAAAAACCCCATAAGACATGTAATCCCAGCATAAAGCATATGGTTTTTATTCAATCCATTTTGTTTTTTCTTACCTGACCCATAAGACTTTAACAAAGTTATTATTACTCCGGGATCATAAATTGGCAGAGGTGCTTACAGCTGAAATCAAAGCTACCAATCCAGTCCTGTCTGATATCAATAAGCTAAAGTTTATTACTGGTGGATAAAGCAGAGAAAGCAAGTCTGGTGAGGAATCCAAGTTCTCCAAAGAACTTTGTTCACAAAGTCAGATCAGAGAAATTATTCTAGTATTCGAGTACCCTCAGGCAGGGCTTAAATACTGGAAATATCCTGAGCACAGCATGTATTCATTAGCTCTGGTTATCAGAGCCCAGATACTTAAAAAAACTACCTGAGAAGATCATCCTGCCTAAGGCTAATCACTCTGCAGCTTCTCTCTTTTCTGCCTTTTTCTTCCATGATGCTCATTAAGGCAGTCACTCTTTCTTGACTTGGGCAGCCGAGTCTCTATTTAGAATTTAGAATTCTCAGGACCAATGAGGCCCAGTTCAGCTCTATGATTCACGTTGTTCTTCATCACCTGGACTATCTAAGGTGGGGGTCTTCAAACTTGGCCCTTTTATGACTTGTGGACTTCATCTCCCAGAATTCCTCAGCCAGGCACACTGGCTGAGGAATTCTGGGAGTTGAAGTCCACAAGTCATAAAAGGGCCAAGTTTGAAGACCCCTGCTCTAGGGCTTCATCTTGCTCTCCTTCCTTCTGTGATGAGAACTTGCCTATTGAGAGCATAATGCTCTTCAACCCAACTGGCCAGTATATCCTAAAGATAGCTGAACTGTGTTGGAGCCTCCTATACTAAGGCTTCATCGGAGAAGAAGGGGAGGTGGGGTAATTGCCTCAGTCTACATCATTAGAGGTGTTCTAGATTCCTTTTATAAAGACTTTCGCAAAAGGCGAACAAGAAAAATAGCATGGATTACACTTAGATGATTAAGCCACAAGCAATTGAGTTCAGGCAATATACTAAGTCAAACAGAAACAAACCACTTGACCACTTTTTCACTTTACTGTCCTGTGCTACTATGTCTTACCTGTGGCTCATTCTCAATCTTCTACCAAGGCATCAGCCTTTTAATTGTAATATAACCAGACTGACAGAGTTAATGTGCTGCATTGACATCCACATATATACTTACTGGAGCCGTGGTGGCGCAGTGATTAGAATGCAGTATTGCAGACAAATACAGCTCACTGCCAGGAGTTCGATCTTCACTGGCTCAAGGTTGACTCAGCCTTTCATCCTTCCGAGGTTGGTAAAATGAGGACCCAGGTCGTTGGGGACAATATGCTGACTCTGTAAACCGCTTAGAGAGGACTATAAAATATTATGAAGTGGTATATAAGTCTAAATGCTATTGCTTTTGTAGGTATGCATGCTCCTTTGCTTGATGTCAGCTGTCTCGGCCCCAACTCAATGTGATCCTGAAAAAGTGGGCTTGGGACTAGTTGTTTCTGCAGCATCTCCCACAATATCCCTGAGTTTCACTCCCATTTAAGTTTTGTAAAAAGGAAGTCTCTTCAGCATGAAAAGTAACTCAGTCCCAGCAGCCTGCCATCTAAAATTGTATTGCTGACACCTCAAATGCTAAGCAGCTTTTTATGCCATTTCTACTGCTTGGTCTTATAGAGAACTGCAATAATTTGAGGGCTGAAAATGCAGGTGCAAAAGCTGTGCTTTTCCAGACAAAAACTCTGGTCCTGGATACAGGGATGTTTTTAAATTGGTTCTTGGGAGCTATGTGGGATGGACAATAGAGGACGGGGAAAATAGCAATCTTAGCAGAACCAAAGCTTTTCAAGTCAGCCTGAGAAAAGTCCCTGCTGTGTGTGCGTGTTGTGTGCGTGCTTGCTTGCACAGGTTTATGCATTTAGTTTCATCTTTTTAGAAACTGCAAAGGGTTCTCCATTTGCACTGGCATTCAAGGCAGTGAACAACTGATTTTATTTAAAATGCTGCTGAAAACAGAGAGTACTTTCCTTTCATTTTGAGTTGAGTAGATGAAAGCTATCATGTAAACCAGGGGTGTCAAACTGCTGGCCTGTGGGCCGGTTGCATCATACGGAGGCCGTGCCCACCCCAGCTCCGGCAATGCAAAAAAAAAGTCATGATATATCGTGACATGTCACGTGATGCGGTGAATTTGACACCCGTGATGTAAACCCTAAACTAAAACTAAGCATCTCACAGTTAAAATTCAAAGCACCCTGCCACAGGGCTTCCAAGTCTACTTTGACTCCCATGTGGGATGATGCAGTTCTACCCATTTTGAAGCTTTCCCCTCCCCAAAATAATAAGGGCAACTGTTGTCCACCCAAAGGTTGTCCACCCTTGCTCTAGTGTAGCAAATAACTTAGGATGCTCAACAATAGTGTTTATTATACATGATATTTTTGTTTTCATAAAATCTGGTCTTATTCCTCACAGTATTGTATTGTTTTTGATATGTGGGCAGTTCTGACCAAGAGCATGGCTTATGGGGAAGGTTTAAATGCTGCTTTTCTCCCTGGTTGATTTTAGTCTCTTAAAACCTTCCAATCACAGATAGATGCAGTAAAGCTTGTCACGGGAGCCTCCCAACTCAGGGAGGGGTTTTAAAACTTTCCTACCAAACACTCAATTATCCTTGTTGAGTTCTGAAGCGTTCATCGGGGCCTCCAGTTATGCACCTGCTTTAAACTGAGTAAAAACAAAATGCACGTGTTGTTAAGAGCCATGCAGATGTTTTAAAAGGTAGCAATGTAATGATATTGTTTCCCTTTTGAAGTACAGTAAATAAGTATTGGCAGCCCTAGCAATGTTTTGTTATAGTTCTGCAACAGTTGTCCTTTCATTTGAAAGTTGTTTAGTAAAATTCTGCTACATCACATTTGCAGTCTTGCAGTAGAATTTACATTGACCGCGATTATAGCTGTTATAAAAACAACGCTGACTTTCCCCCCCCCTCTGTTTTCCTCTGCTTTCAAGCTGCAGTAGTCTGTGTGACTCTCCTTAATCGATTTGAAGGAGATCAGATCAAAGCCTCCCATGAAGTTCTAGCTGAGTATCAGCGACGACCTCAGCAATTGATTGCAACATTGATCAAAAAACGCCTTGGGTTGATTAATGACACGGAATTATTAGATAATGCAGTAGTCTA